GTTTATATTTTGTTTATAAACATATCAGGTAACATGATCGCCCCTTATCTGCTGATAAGACTCCCCCGCCCGCGTGACATCATACTCCCTCGCCCCCGAACCCCCCCCCCCTCCCCCGCCCCGTACCCCCCTCAGGGGACCTGGGTTAGAACCCGCCTTATATTCCTACTTATCGAAATATAAAAGCGAAATATACACGGAATTGTAGTTCGTGAATTAAGTAATAATAAAGACAATACAAAACATATACGAAATCACGGTGTAATTGAATCGGAATACATCAACCACATAACATTTGGTGCCTCTTGTGAAGTCAAGGGCCTCCACAAGCAGAGAGAGAGAGGAGATCGGCTCGAGCACGGGTGCCAGGAAGAGAAGATACGCAAGTTACGTAGACAGCAGAATATTACGCAAGTGAATCGTTCGGATAGTGTCACGATGGCTGATAGAGTAAAGCTATTAGTGCAGAAACGTACGTCGTTAAAAACACAGATTACGTCGTTATCTAATTTAATCGATAAAAATAAAATTGACGCCACGACGTTAAAACTTCGGTACACACGTGTAAATCAGTTGTATCAGGCGTTCGAAGAGTTCAATGACGAGTTGATTGTGTTAGATCCTAATGCCGCGCATAATAGTGAGTTCGAGAAAGTGCAAGAGCGATATTATATTTTAGCGAGTAGAATCGAAACGATGATAAACAGCGAAGGAACATTCCGCGCGAGTACAAGCACGCCCGACGGTAAAACGCGTTTGAACAACAGCGAGATCACGACGGTAATTAAGAAGCGACGTATAAAGTTACCCGAGGCGCCGTTGCCAAAATTTGATAGAAAGTACGAAAATTGGTTATTATTCAAAAACGCGTTTAACGATATGATGCAGTCGGATTTGTCGGACATAGACAAACTTCATTATCTAAACCGCACTCGTCGGTGACGCCGTGAATAAAACGAATATTCTTGCCGTCGATGTGGCAAATTACATAAAGGCATGGGAATTATTAGAGCGGTCGTATGAAATGAAGCGCATTTTAATATCATGACACATAGCATCAATTCTTAACTTACCGGCTCTCGACAAAGAAACAACCAACAGATTGACAAAAATCGCGGACGACGCACAGCAACACGTAGCCTCGTTACACGCGCTAGGAGTCGATATTAATAGTGAGATCGTGGTGCATGTTTTGGAAAGTAAGATACCGAAGATCACACTAGAAAAATGGGAGGCTATACTTGATCGCGACGAATTTCCAAAGGTAGATCAGATCTACGAATTATTATATAAAACGGCAGTGTGCGCCTCGAAACGAGAGCGTATAAAGGCGGGGGAGACACAAGGAAGATCGTGCGAGGTCGCAATTAAAAAGAGATATCCCGGCGCCGCGAACAAAGCGTTCGTAATAAATACGGCACGTGGTTGCATTATGTGCAATAATAAGAAACATCTTTTGTTCTTATGCGATAGATTTAAGGCGCTCTTGGTCGTGGATCGGATTGAGACCGTGAGAAAGGCAAAAATATGCTACAATTGTCTGCGTTCGCATCGTGATCAAGCCTGCAAATATTCGAATTGCACTTTTTGCAATAAGCGTCATAATACGTTGTTGCATCAAGAGGATCGATCAAACGCGAATAAGACCGACGCGAAAAATGAAACGCAACGTAAATACGGTATGACTAGACAATGCGGGACGTTGGTATCGCGAGACATAACGCCACAATTAGTGACCAGTGCGATGATTTATGTTGAGAACAATGCGAGCGATGTTATTAATGTCGAGCGTTGTTGGATACGTGTGCTACGGCTAATTTCATTTCGGAGAGCTTAGTAAAACGGTTAAGATTGTCGGTGAAAGGGCAAAGGACAACCATAAGCATGATCAATTCATACGGCATCAGAGTAGGGCATCGCAGAAATTACCATACGGTCAACGTGTATCGAGTTCAGTAAAGATATAACATGTATTGTGATACCAACCATAGTTAGTTTAATGCCGTCCGAAATTATATCGCGAAGAAATATTAACATCCCACCGAACATTAAGCTGGCTGATCCCAAGTTTCATCTGCCGCGCGCGATAGATTTATTATCGGAAATAGCTAAAATATACGACCCGTTGGGGTTGTTAGGGCCCATAATAATGCATGCGAAAAAATTAATGCAGCATGTGTGGCGGTGTAAACTGAAATGGGACGAATCAGTTCCACAGGATATACATTCGACGTGGATATCCTTTCGACAACATCTAGATTTGATTAATCAAATCGCGTTCGAGCGTAGAATTTTGTTAGATAATAATCACGACATACAGTTGCATGGATTTTGTGATGCAAACGCCATCGGGTATGGAGCTTGTATTTACGCGCGATCGATTAACGATAATCAGACGACCAATGTAAGGCTCTTGTGCGCTAAATCGCGAGTAGCCTCGATAAAACAAATGATCATGCCACGACTATGAACTTTGCGGCGCGTTGTTATTGTCCAGATTATACAAAGAAGTGAGGAATTCATTACGCGACATACGGCAATGTAAAATCACATTCTGGTGCGACTCGACGATTGTACTTCATTGGATTCTGGACTATGAGAAGCAACAGTAAAATTGTACAAACACCATTTCAAGCGCGTAATAGGCGACTCACTCTTCACATTTGAGGAGTTAAACACATTTACGATCGAAATCGAGGGTATACTAAATTCTCGACTCATAGTTGCATTATCATCTGACTCGAATGATTCACTTGCATTAACACCTGCTCATTATTTCATTGGCAAACCGTTAACTGCCCTCCCGGAGGAGGATTTGTCAAATATTCCAGACAATCGGCTATCTACTTGGCAACACATCACCAAGGTTAGACAAGATTTTTGGTCACGATGGCACTTGGAATACTCAAATGAGCTGCAAATAAGGAGCAAATGGGTCAAAGACGGACCATCGGTACAGAACGGGTCAATCGTACTTTTCAAGGAAAAGAATTTGTGTAATGAATAATCTGTGTAATGAAAATTGTATGAATAAGTCGAAAGCAATGTTTTGTTAATAATAATAAGTCTAATTTCTCAATTTCCACTAAATAATTTTCTTTCTTCCAAAGATACTTTATATTCTTTCGTTATAGAAACATAATTATGAGCAACAATTTTTCCGTGTTGTAACTAATGTTATAAAAAAGTAAAAAGAAGTGAAAATAAATTGCATTATGAAATGGACGTGTTACCAATTAAATCGTTATGCAGCAGCAAAAGCGCCTTTATACAAAGAAATAAAATTCCGTGCTGTTTTTGGTTATATTAAAGATTTTTGTTTTATGATTTGTAAATAGATCATTATAAATAAAAGTCTTTTTTTATTCTTGTTACTTCATTTTTATTATAATTGTGACAACTAATATTCTATCTTAACATGAATACATATATCTTAACATGAATACATATATCTTAACATGAATATCTTAACATAAAGTACACGACGCGCATTAAAACGATTTGTATATTATAATTAATGCCAATAAATATGATTTTATATTTTTGAAACACTATATATATATATATATTCATTTTAATGGTCTGCTTTCCCAGTCAGAAATAATCGGACGAAAAGACATAAAATCGATATCGATTCGACCAATTCAGCATCGATTTGATATTGATTCGACGTCGTTTTAACTATTAATTCTGGCTGGGTTATAAGTTAATAGAATAAATATAAAAAAGGAAACATAAAATATAACGTATGTACTAAATATATACGCAAAATAGTATTTTAAAACTATTTTTTTCCTTAGAAAGGATTGTCATTATGTAAATTATCAAACTTTGGTAAACTATTTCTATAGATCGTTTTGTAAAGAGACTTTGTGGAATATATACATATATAAATTTGTATAATTAAATATTATATAATATATGTATGCATATATAAAAATAATATTTTGATGATATGTAACACCTGTATGGTACACATTATATAAATATTAAAGTAAAATTAATATATAAATGTGTATTATGCAAAAATATAAAGTAGTATATAGATAAATATATATTTGTGTGTATTTTACAGACTGGTTTATATTAATATGTTCTCTATTTAATTTAAATGTATATATACATATATATATATATATATATATATATGTATATATATATTTATCTACAAATACACATTTTTATATATTTATATTAATATTAATTAAATATTTTGTATATTAATATTAATAAAATTTATATTAATATACAATTTATATTATATACAAAAATATAAAGTAGTATATAGATAATATATATATATATATATATATATATATATATATACAGGGTGTCCCGGAACACCCCTAACAACGTTTGTGTGAAGATAGAACGCATCGATACGATTAAAAAAATCTTATACCATTTTGCAATGTCTTTAATCATAACTTTAATCAAAATATTTAATGTTAAAGTCAAGCGAATAAAAGCGAGTAAGACAGATAAAGTCAAGCATATAAAAGAGGAAGTTTTATTAAAGATATCGCAAAATGTGTGGTATAAAACATTTCTGTTCGTTTCGATGCGCTCTATCACCACACGAATGTTGTTAAGAGTGTTCCAAGACACTCTGTATATATATATATATATATATATATATATATATATATATATATATAATTGTGAAAATATATATATATATATATATATATTTATCTACAAATATACATTTTTAATTATTTATACTAATATACAATATATTTCTTTTTGTATGATAATACATTGAGCCGAAAATATGTTATAACATTTTCGGCTTAAATATCTCATAAAATTATTTAAATTTCACATTTATCACGAAGCACAGCTAGTACAGATGACATGATTCTATTTAAAGTGTGGACAAATTTATATCATACTTAAGATTATAAATTAAGATATTAATAATTATAAATTAAGATTATAAATTCATCAAAATATTAATAATTATAAATTAAGTTTATAAAATAATGTATGTGAAAAATGATACGTTTTAGTAAGTATGCTAATAGTAATAAAACATACGTTCCGCTACATCAAAGTAACCAACATATTCTGTCTCTTCTGGCGTGATGTCGTTAAGAAATCGATTAAATTCTAAGTTAGAGATTGAGTCAAACATATAACGAACATTTGTATAAAACTGCAAAATAAAAAGTTCATGAAATTAATGTCATTATAAATTAATGTTAATGAATTAATGTTATTTAATATTATGTCGCTTCGAAAATCAAATATCAATGTTATCATTCTCATGTTACTATGATCATATAAAATTATGAAATATAAATATATGTTAATTTCCATAACATAGTATAAATATATAACAAAACGCGTATAAATTTGTATATTATAATCAAAAAAGAAATAGAAAATTAATGAAAATATAAAGAATATAAAAATGTAAACAATAACAATTTATAATTTAATTATACAATTTATATAAAAATGGAGAATTTAAAATTATATAATATTTAAAAAATGAGTTTTTGTATGTGCACAAATAACTTACAAGTCCATCATGTTGTCCTTCAATTATGACTGGATCATTGACTATTACGCCCTGACATACGTTTGTATTTAAATTACAGTTTATTGTCCTACACCGTGGCTGGCCATTCTTTGGAAATTCGCCCAGTTTTATTTGTCCCCCTTGTATTAAGAGCAGGCCATTTAACCCTAAAGTATTAAGTATAAAAAATTTATTTATGTATATATACGTCATTTCTCTGAACTAATATTTTAGTTTATACTTTCTATTTATTTTGTTTATCGAATTATATAGTTTTGTATAAACAATTTTTACCCATTTTAAAGTATAAGCGCTTATGCAAAATATTCTGTATTAATGTTATGATGTTGTAATTGATTTTGCGTCCTTTAACGCGTATTTTGAGCACCATTCCAGGTTCATTATTACTGCAATAATAGTTCTCTCCCGCTATGAACATTTTATTGCCAATTTCTACGTTCATGCGAGTATACATTTCCCAAATAGATGAATCCCCGGACATTCCTGTTAAAATGTAAAACTATTGTATTTCAAATGAGAAAGATCATTTAAGAATGCTTGTTATATTTCTCACCAGGCCATTCAAAATTGTATGGTTCCCTGGTTAAATCAGGACAGGCAACAATTTCAATTTGAAATTCGTCAAAGTATTCGTGTAATTCGTACAGAACTGTGGCAATATGCAATAACAGATGTAAAGTATTAAATAACTAAATTAAGTAATAAATGTTTTATACGTACTATCCTTGATATTTTCAAGACTAATTGAATTGAATGATGATATGCATTTGATTTCATCTCTGGGGTCATCTTCAGGCTCATTTTCGGGGTCATTGTCGAGCTCATTTCTGATGTCATTCATTTGTAATAACACTGCATTGAGGTCATTTCCGAGCTCTGCTGCAGGGCGATTTTCGTTTTCCTCTCCAGACTCTTTTGGTATAACAAGTTTAGATTCTTTTACAGGCTTTTCTTCCAGCTTTTCTTTGGGATTATTTGTGGGTTCATCTCTGGGATTATTTTCAATTGTATTTTTATTTCTAATGTTTTTTTCACGCTTAACATGTTTTGGCTTATTCGGCTTATCCATAATGCTCAATTCGAGTTTAACGCAACAATGTCGTGCTATGTAAGAATGTTATGATTTATTAGATTGCTATAAAAAAGCAACAATTATAATATCAGTAATTTATATACAGAACATAACATGTAGCAGAGTATATCACAATTATTTTTAAAGAGAATATAGTATTATTAATGATGTACATACATTTTAAAGATATGATGTAAAATTATGTTTAATTGTGTTTTATGACATGCATGTTGAAAAGTAGATTGTAATTAATTTGAGCAAATATATCTAATATTAAAAATAAAAATTTGTTTATTAAATTAGATTGATTTGAAATTTTAAATATTCTCTAAGTTTTAAAGGAAGTATTTAATATCATTTTTAAGAAATATTTGAATTAGAAAAATATAATATATATGTTCTTAGGTTTTGAGGTTATTCTTTTTCCGTTATTTTGTATATGTATAATTTACATGTTTGGGAAAAATCTTTAAATAATTTGAAATTTATCAAACATCTTATAATTATATTATAAATTATATAAACGCAAAAAATATCACTGCATATAATTGTAAATGTACACATAAATTATATATTTATGTATATATAATTCGTACTTACGTTATGAAATGTTTTATTGCTCAAATACTTTAATTGGTATTATCGTCAAACGTGTCTTCTTTCGTTGTTTGCAAATGTATGACTAGTCGCACGGGACGTTTTAATATATATTATTTTCTTAAATGTAACCGAAAACACACAAAAATAACAACAAATTATGAAAACGTACGGTCAAATGTACAAGTCAATATCGATTAGAGATACTGTAAATATATCTTGAATTTATCAACAAATTTTAATACTACTACTTATATAATTAATTTTTAAAACAAGAAGACAATTTGGAAAAAAGTTATCATAATAATTTTTTCTGTTTTAAACTTAAATCCTGGATTTCAGTTTAAATGTTTCTGTAAAATTTTACGTTGATTATTAAGTATCATGCGTCGTCTAAGATTATTATAATTTATTTTATTTTGATGTCAATCTTCAGACACGTATTAATCTCATCTATGCAAGCTATATATTTATATATACATACAAGTATACAAATGCGTATACGTACATATATATATTGTATATATATATATATATATATATATATATATATATATATTTATGGTCGCAAACTAAAGATTATAATTTTTGAATTTTTTTAGGATTTATTGAAAAAATTGTGATCCATGTTTCACCAATAAAATTTTATATAAGATACTTCAGTATTTCTGTTTGCAATTTTTGTTGTAAAAATATTTAAAATATAACTACATTTATTTTTTAATTGTATCATTTTTTAAATATATCATGTAATAATTATGAATTTAATATTACGTTCTTTTTTTTTTATTTTAATACAATCCATGAAAAATACACGAATTTTGATATATATATTAATATGTATTATATATATTAATATGTTATAATGTTTCCAAAATTTAAAATAATTTAATTTTGTGTAATTTACGCATATATCAGCTTATGATTTTCAAGTAATTTTATATAATATCTATAAGTATAAGATCTCATATACGTTTTGTTTCGAGACGTGCTACGAAATAATCTTTTTATTACTACTTTCATATGTTAGAGGAAATTCTTTTAAACGATTTATCTGTATTAACAATGAGAAAATAGTGAAGGGAGAGAACAAAATAAAGCAAAACACTTTCTTAATTACAATTAGGATTTTTGCCAGAGGTTTTATCAATATTGATAAAAATTTAGTTGTTCGAATATTTGGAAATATCTAGTCTCGTATTTTTAATTCTACTGTTACACACATCATATGCAAACTCTGTGTAATGGAAATTATATGAAAAGGTCGAAAACAATTTTCTGCTAATAATAATAATAGTAATTTCTCAATTTCCACTGAATAGTTTTCTTTCTTCCAAGGATACTTTATATTCTTTCGTTATAGAAACATAATAATGAGCAACAATTTCTCCGTGTTGAGACTATTATTATAAAAAAGTAAAAAAAAGTGAAAATAAATTGCATTATAAAATGGACGTGTTACCAATTAAATCGTTATGCAGCAGCGAAAGCGCATTTATACAGAGAAATAAAATTCCGTGCTGCCTTTGGTTATATTAAAGATTTTTGTTTTATGAATTGTAAAAAAAACATTATAAATAAAAGTCTTTTTCTATTTTTGTTATTTTATTTTTTTATTATAATTGTGACAACTAATATTCTATTAACATGAAGTACACGACGCGCATTTAAACGATTTGTATATTATAATTAACGCCAATAAATATTATATGATTTCATATTTTTGAAACACTATATATATATATACTATCATTTTAATGGTCTGCTTTCCCAGTCAGAAATAATTAGACAAAAAGACATATAATAAATATCGATTCGGCCAATTCGGCATCGATTTGACAATAATTAGAGATCGATTTAACTATTATTTCTGGCTGGGTTATAAGTTAATAGAATAAATATAAAAATGGAAACATAAAATATAACGTATGTACTAAACATATACGCAAAATAGTATTTTTAAAACTATTTTTTTTCTTAGAAAGGATCGTCATTTTATAAATCATCAAACTTTGGTAAACTATTTCTATAGATCGTTTTGTAAAGAGACTTTGTGGAATATGTACATATATAAATTTGTATAATTAAATATTATATAATATATGTATGCATATATATAAATAATATTTTGATAATATGTAACACCTGTATGGTACACATTATATAAATATTAATATGAAATTAATATATAAATGTGTATTATGCAAAAATATAAAGTAGTATATAAATAAATATATATTTGTGTGTATTTTACAGACTGGTTTATATTAATATGTTCTCTATTTAATTTAAATGTATATATACCTATATATATATATATATATATATATATATATATTTATCTACAAATACACATTTTTATATATTTATATTAATATACAGTATATATTTTTTGCTAATTGTCAATCAAAATTGTCGGATAATTTGTACATCTACAGAATATTTAGAGAAAAAGTTTATAATAATATTATCGAACTTCTTAAAACATATTCTTCTCTGATATTTTTCTCCACCATCAATCGAAATAAAAACATAGATTATGTGTACTACTCAAATCAATCCGTATTAAAATATAATAATTAAATAATAAAATAAATAATAAATAATAAATAAATAATAAAATAAATAATTAATAAAAATTAATACGATTTACGTTTCAAAATTAATAAGATAATTCTTGTGTAAATCTAAAATATATATGAAATATCTCGATGATATTTCATCGAGCCGAAAATATGTTATAACATTTTCTCCTTAAATATTTCATAAAAATATTTCACATTTATCACGAAGCACAGCTAGTACAGATGACATGATTTTATTTAAAGTGTGGACAAATTTATATCATAATTAAGATTATAAATTAAAAGATTAATAATTATAAATTAGGTTTATAAAATAATGTATGAAAAATGATACGTTTTAGTAAATATACTAATAATAATAAAACATACGTTCCGCTATATTAAAGTAACCAACATATTCTGTTTCTTCTGGCGTGATGTCGTTGAGAAATCGGTCGAGTTCTAAGTCAGAGCTTGAGCGAAACATATAACGATCATTTGTATAAAACTGCAAAATATAAGTTAATGAAATTAATGTTAATAAATTAATGCTATTTAATATTATGTCGCTTTAAAAATCAAATATCAACGTTATCATTTTCATGTTACCATGATCATATGAAATTTTGAAATATAAATATATGTTAATTTCCATAATATAGTATAAATATATAACAAAACGCGTATAAACTCGTAAATTATAACCAAAGGAAAAAATAGAAAATTAATAAAAATATAAAGAATATAACAATGTAAACAATAATAATTTATAATTTAATTATACAATTTATATGAAAATGGAGAATTTCAAATTATATAATATTTAAAAAATTAATGTTTGGATGTGCACAAATAACTTACAAGTCCATCATGTTTTCCTTCAATTATGATTGGATCATTGACTATTACGCCCTGACATACGTGTGTATTTGCATTACAATTTATTTCTTCGCACTGTGGCTGGCCATTCTTTGGAAATTTGCCCAGTTTTATGCTTCCCCCTTGTATTAAGAGCAGGCCACCTAACCCTAAAGTATTAAGTATGAAAGATTTATTTATTTATATATACGTCATTTCTATGAACTAATATTTTAGTTTTTACTTTGTATTTATTTTGGTAATGAAATTATATAATTTCGTATAAACAATTTTTTACCTATTTTAAAATATAAGCGCTTATGCAAAATATTCTGTATTAATGTTATGATGTTGTAATTGATTTTGCGTCCTTTAGCGCGTATTTTGAGCACCATTCCCGGTTTTTGCTTACTGAGAAAATAGTTCCATCCCATTTTAATGGGTATTATTTCATTGCTACCTTCTTGCATCATTTCAAAATCATAAGGGGTATATACTTCCATAATAGCTGCATCCCCGGACATTCCTGTTAAAATGTAAGACTATTGTATTTCAAATGCGAAAGATCAAGAATGCTTGTTATATTTCTCACCAGTCATTTCTAAATTGTACGGTTCTCTGGTTAAATCAGGACAGGCAACAATTTCAATTTGAAATTCGTCAAAGTATTCGTGTAATTCGTACACAACTGTAGCAATATGCAATAACAGATGTAAAGTATTAAATAACTAAATTAAGTAATAAATGTTTTATACGTACTATCCTTGATATTTTCAAGACTAATTGAATTGAATGATGGTATGCATTCGATCTTATCTTCGGGGTCATTTTCAAGCTCATTCCCGGGGTCATTGTCGGGCTCATTTCTGATGTTCATTCGTAATAACGCTGCATTGAGGTCATTTCCGAGCTCTGATGCAGGGTTATTTTCTTGTTCCTCTTCAGGCTCTTTTGGTATGACCAGTTTAGATTCTTTTACAGGCTTCTTTTCCAGCTTTTCTTCGGGATTATTTGTGGGTTCACTTCTGGGATTTATTTCGATTTTATTTTTATTTCTAATGTTTTTTTCACGCTTAACACGTTTTGGCTTATTCGGTTTACCCATAATGCTCAATTCGAGTTTAACGCGACAATGTCGTGCTATGTAAGAATGTTATGATTTATTAGATTGCTATAAAAAAACAACAATTATAATATCAGTAATTTATATACAGAACATAACATGTAGCAGAGTATATCACAATTATTTTTACAGAAAATATAGTATTATTAATGATGTACATACATTTAAGGATATGATGTAAAATTATGTTTAATTGTGTTTTATGACATGCATTTCAAAAAGTAGATTGTAATTAATTTGAGCAAATATATCTGATATTAAAAATGAAAATTTGTTTATTAAATTAGATTGGTTTGAAATTTTAAAGATTCTCTAAGTTTTAAAGGAAACATTTAATATTATTTGTAAAAAATATTTGAATTAGAAGAAATAAAATATATATGTTTTTAGGTTCTGAGGTTATTTTTTTTCGTTATTTTGTATATGTATAATTTACATATTTAGGAAAAATCTTTAAATGATTTGAAATTGATTAAACACTTATAATTATATTATAAATTATATAAACGCAAAAAATATCTCTGCATATAATTGTAAATAAACACATATATATATATATATATATATATATACACATGATTCATTATAAAAGTAATGCGCATTTTCTAAGACAAATATATTTATTGATCGTATCGGTACAAATGCTTCAAATTCTTCAAAATACTCTTCCTCAGCATCAATACACTTGCGGAGACGTGTCTGCCATGCCTGGAAGGCACACTGAAACTCCTCGACGGGAATGCTTTGTAGGAACGTTGTAACATGCTTTTAAATGTTTTGCACGGACTCCCAATGCTTTCCTTTCAGCTTTCTTAAGTCGCACGGAGCTAAGTCGTGACTGTAAAGAGGCTGGGGATTACCGGGGTGTTGCTCCGAGCCAGGAAATTGGTAACGATGAAGGCCGTGTGGCTGGGGGCATTGTCATGGTGGAGCGAACGCTCCATCGCGCCGTGTTACAAAGTCGAAAAACACACTTCACGCGGAGACACATCTTTCTACGCAGACTGCCCGGAACCAAGTGGCAACCGGCTGGATTCTAAGGGCAGACCCCCCAACACATTTTCCGATCCTTTTTACTTCGCTGCGATGGATAGTCGCGTCACAATAAAATCATGCGCATTACTTTTATAATGAACCATGTATATATATAAAATTCGTACTTACGTTATGAAATGTCTTATTGTTCAAATAATTTAATTAGTATTATTGTCAAACGTGTCTTCTCTCGCTGTTTGCAAATGTGTGACTAATCGCACGGGACGTTTTAATATATATTATTCACTCAAATGTAACCGAAAGCACAAAAAATAACAACAAAATATGAAAACGATCAAATGTACAAGTCAATATTGATTAGAAATATTGTAAATGTATCTTGAATTTACCAACAAATTATAATACTATTACTAATTTGGAAAAAAGTTATCATAAAAATTGCTTCTGTTTTAAACTTGAAATCTGGATTTCAGTTTGAATGTTTTTAAAAAATTTTATGTTGATTATTAAGTATCATGCATTGTTCAAAATTATTATAATTAATTTTATTTTTATGTCAATTTTCAGAATCGTCTTAATCTCATTTATGCATGCTATATATTTATATATACTGTTACGTCCTCCGGACGTTCTCTTTCTCAAATCACTCGTACACTCTCACACACGCGGAACACGCCCGAAAAGGATAAAGACTTTTAAGGTGGTACTGAGTTTTAATATGAAAATCCAGTACAAAAGAACGATGCAATACAATAAATAATATGCGCAAATGCTCATTGGCCTCGAAAGTGTCTGCTCGATGCGACAGCTCGACCAAATCTGTCATGGAGCCTCAAAACAACCACAGGGCGGTTGTCAATAAATAACCCCCTTAACGATGAAGTTCCACAACGACACACAAGGGATGATATTCAGGGGATGAAAGATCAGAGACGTAACAATACATATACAAATGCGTATACGTGCATATTTATATACATATACAAATGCGTATACGTACATATATATATATTTATGGTCGCAAACTAAAGATTATAATTTTTGATTTTTTTAAGGATTTATTGAAAAAATTGTGGTCCATGTTTCACCAGTAAAATTTTATATATACTTCAGTATTTCTGTTTGCAATTTTTGTTATAAAAATATTTAAAATATAACTAAATTTATTTTTAAATTGTATCATTTTTTAATTATATCATGTTATAAATTTTGTATTACGTTTTTTTTTTTTTTTTTAATACGATCCATGGAAAGTACAAAAGTTTCAATATATATATTAATATATATTATATATATTAATATGTAACGTTTCCAAAATCTAAAATCATTTAATTTTGTGTAATTTACGCATATATCTGCTTATGATTTTCATGCAAACTTATATAATATCTAAAAGTATAAGATTTCATATACATTTTGTTTCAAGACGTGCTACTAAATAATCTTTTCATTACTACTTGCATAAGTTAGGAGAAATTCTTTCAAACGAATTATATATATTAACAATGATGAAAAAGTGAAGGGAAAGAACAAAATGAAGCAAAACATTTTCTTAAATACAATTAAGATTTTTGTCAGAAGTTTTATCACTATTGATAGAAATTTAGTTGTTCGAATATTTGGAAATGTCTAGTCTCGTATTTTTAATTCTACTGTTACACACATCATATGCAAGCTCTGTGTAATAAAAATTGTATAAATAAGTCGAAAGCAATGTTCTGTTAATAATAATAATAGTAATTTCTCAATTTCCACTGAATAGTTTCCTTTCTTCCAAGGATATGTTATATTCTTTCGTTATAGGAACATAATAATGAGCAACAATTTCTCCGTGTTGAGACTATTATTATAAAAAAGTAAGAAAAACTGAAAATAAATTGCATTATGAATTGAACGTGTTACCAATTAAATTGTTATGCAGCAGCAAAAGCGCCTTTATACAGAGAAATAAAATTCCGTGCTGTCTTTGGTTATATTAAAGATTTTTGTTTTATGTGTGTGTGAATTGTTAATAAATCATTATAAATGAAAGTCTTTTTCTATTCTTGTTACTTTATTTTTATTATAATTGTGACAACTTATATTCTATTAACATGAAGTACACGACGCGCATTTAAACGATTTGTATATTATAATTAATGCTAATAAAAATGATTTCATATTTTTGAAACACTATATAAATACAATCATTTTAATGGTCTGCTTTCCCAGTCAGAAATGATCGGTCGGAAAGCATAAAATCGAGATCAAATCGACCAATTCGGCGTTGATTTGACATTGATTCGACGTCGATTTAACTATTATTTCTGGCTGGGTTATAACTTAATAGAATAAATATAAAAATGGAAACATAAAATAAGACGTATGTACTAAATATATACGCAAGATAGTATTTTTACAACTATTTTTTTCCTTAGAAAGGATCGTCTTTATGTAAATCATCAAACTTTGGTAAGCTATTTCTATAGATCGTTTTGTAAAAAGAATTTGTGGAATATATACATATATTAAATAAAATGTATAATTATATATTATATTATATATGCATATATATAAATAATATTTATATGATATGTAACAACTGTACGCAATATATAAATATTAAAGAGAAATTAATATATAAATGTATATTATACAAAAATATAAAGTAGTATATAGATAAAAATATATTTGTGTGTATTTTACATACTTGGTTTATATTAGTATGTTCTCTATTTAATTTAAATGTATATATATATTTATCTACAAATACACATTTTTATATATTTATATTAATATACAGTATATATTTTTTGCTAATTGTCAATCAAAATTGTCGAATAATTTGTACATCTACAGAATATTTAGAGAAAAAGTTTATAATTATATTATCGAACTTCTTAACATATTCTTCTCTGATATTTTTCCACCATCAATCAAAATAAAAACATAGATTATGTGTACTACTCAAATCAATCCGTATTAAAATATAATATTTAAATAATGAAATAATTGATAGATAATAAATAAATAAAAAAATATATAGTTAATAAGAATTAATACGATTAACGTTTCAAAATTAATGAGATAATTCTTGTGCAAAACTAAAGATATATATGAAATATCTCAATGATATTACATTGAGCCGAAAATATGTTATAACATTTTCTGCTTAAATACCTCATAAAAATATTTCACATTTATCACGAAGCAGAGCTAGTACAGATGACATAATTTTATTTGAAGTGTGGACAAATTTATATCATAATTAAGATTATAAATTAAGATATTAATAATTATAAATTAAGATTATAAATTTATCAAAATATTAATAATTATAAAATAAGTTTATAAAATAATGTATTAAAAATGATTCGTTTTAGTAAATATGCTAATAAAAATAAAACATATGTTCCGCTATATTAAAGTAACCAACATATTCTGTCTCTTCTGGCGTAGTGTCGTTGAGAAATCGGTCGAGTTCTAAGTCAGAGGTTGAGCGAAACATATAACGATCATTTGTATAAAACTGCAAAATGTAAAGTTAATGAAATTAATGTTATTATGAATTAATGTTAATAAATTAATGCTATTTAATATTATGGCGCTTTAAAAATCAAATATCAACGTTATCATTTTTATTTTACTATGATCATATGAAATTTTGAAATATAAATATATGTTAATTTTCATAACATAGTATAAATATATAACAAAACGCGTATAAAGTCGTAAATTATAATCAAAGGAAGAAATAGAAAATTAATGAAAATATAAAGAATATAACAATGTAAACAATAACAATTTATAATCTAATTATACAATTTATATGAAAATGGAGAATTTAAAATTATATAATATTTAAAAAATTAATTTTTGGATGTGCACAAATAACTTACAAGTCCATCATGTTTTCCTTCAATTATGACTGGATCATTGACTATTACGCCCTTACATACGTTTGCATTTATATTACAGTTTATATTCTCGCACTGTGGCTCGTCATTCTTTGGAAATTTGCCCAGTTTTATGTGTCCCCCTTGTATTAGGAGCAGGCCACCTAACCCTAAAGTATTAAGTATGAAAAATTCTTTTATTTATATATACGTCATTTCTGTGAACTAATATTTTAGTTTTTACTTTGTATTTATTTTGGTAATGAAATTATATAATTTCGTATAAACAATTTTTTACCTATTTTAAAGTATAAGCGCTTATGCAAAATATTCTGTATTAATGTTATGATGTTGTAATTGGTTTTGCGTCCTTTAGCGCGTATTTTGAGCACCATTCCCGGTTTTTGCTTACTGAGAAAATGGTTCCATCCCGTTTTAATGTGTATTATTTCATTCCTATTTATTTGTCTTTCCAAATCATTACGAGTATATACTTCCAAAATAGCTGTATTCCCGGACATTCCTGTTAAAATGTAAGACTATTGTATTTCAAATGCGAAAGATCAAGAATACTTGTTATATTTCTCACCAGGCGTTCCAAAATTGTATGGTTCTTTGGATAAATCAGGACAGGCAACAATTTCAATTTGAAATTCGTCAAAGTATTCGTGTAATTCGTACAGAACTGTGGCAATATGCAATAACAGATGTAAAGTATTAAATGACTAAATTAAGTAATAAATGTTTTATACGTACTATCTTTGATGTCTTTAAGAGTAATTGAATTAAATGATGGTATGCATTCGATTTTAACTCTGGGTTCATCTTCAGGCTCATTTTCGGGGTCATTGTCGGGCTCATTTCTGATGCTCATTCGTAATAACGCTGCATTGAGGTCATTTCCGAGCTCTGCTGCAGGGCGATTTTCGTTTTCCTCTCCAGACTCTTTTGGTATGACAAGTTTAGATTCTTTTACAAGCTTTTCTTCCAGCTTTTCTTCGGGATTATTTGTGGGTTCATCTCTGGGATTATTTTCGATTATGTTTTTATTTCTAATGTATTTTTCACGCTTAACACGTTTTGGCTTATTCGGTTTACCCATAATGCTCAATTCGAGTTTAACACGACAATGTCGTGCTATGTAAGAATGTTATGATTTATTAGATTGCTATAAAAAAAGCAACAATTATTGTATCAGTAATTTATATACAGAACGTAACATGTAGCAGAGTATATCACAATTATTTTTAAAGAGAATATAGTATTATTAATGATGTACATACATTTTAAGGATATGATGTAAAATTATGTTTAATTGTGTTTTATGACATGCATTTTAAAAAGTAGATTGTAAT